AGAGCTCGTCATAATTCTTCGGAAAAATAAAACGCGATCTCAGATAAAACTGGGAATTTTCCCGACTATTAAAAAGTTTTATTGAGAAATTAAACAAAAAGAAAAAAAAATTTACTGTTATTGCTCGCTCTTACAAATCTTCTCTCAAAATTCGCCCCTTCATCGTAAACAACTCAGTATATAAATGCCTCGCTCTGTTTAGATATTATCTGATAGAAAATAGTGCGTTTATTTTTTTTTTTTTTTTTTTGCGGTGGAATTAACCGAGTTTGATAAATATTTCACGTACGTTTTGTTGAAACAATATAGCGCGCACTACATTTAATTTTATTGCATACGAAATGTTGAATATTCAAGATTTCAATTTTATATAAACGTTCTTTTAAAAATGAATATCTCCCGATATAAACAAATATCTTTCACAGAAATACTTCGGACTATTGCGTGTATTTACAATTTTCCAAGTTACACGGCGAACTTGTTTTCTCAGCAATATCTTGAAAACGTTATTGTATAACAGTGAACGATTTTGTGTTTGTGTGTGTGTGCGTGTGCGTAGCTATTTCTCTGTTTGTATTGTGTATCTATTAATTCATTTAAATCTAAAATTATCGAATCTGAATCTAAAATTACTAGAAGATTGCTACACTCTCTCGCTCGTGTATTTTGCCGGTAAATTGCTGTTCTTTTATCCCAAATTGCCGCGTGACTCTGATTACCATCGTGTTCGTGAGCGAAACGCACAACGTCACGGTAATTAAGAATCCGCAAGTGCTCTTCTGAAAAGTGCTCTCTTTCTTTCTCTCTTTTCCCTCCGCTCCATCCCCTGACGCGCACCAAGATTTCTCCTTTTTTTCGCTCGTCTCTGCGACGTCTCTCCGGCTTTTTCTAATCTCCAGCGGTTCATTCAATCCCCTCCTATTTCGCTACCGCGTCATATCTACGGGTCGTTGATATCGCTCGTGTTTTCGCGGATAACGTACATGTAGCAGCAGCAGCGGCAGCACCAACAGCCGTCTGCGAAACGCGCGGCACGCACTGATAATAATTATTGACAGATGCGACCGACTAATGCGGCTTTCGTCTAGCTTTAAGTCGTAGATGGATTGTTTCGTACTTGATGAGGACTACGTGCTCGGTGCCGAGTGATAATTCGGTAGATACGAGAGATACGTCTTCCGCGGCTGCTGTTACAATTTACATTTTCGAAATACGATCAGAGATCACATATGTAACACAATTCCCGGTAGAGTAATCGTTGATACTTTTAAATAAATTTTTCGTAACATACACACAAACGTGACGCGGAAATTTACACACAGCTCTGATTTGAATCTATTATTCCCATATTTAAAAAGTTTACAAGTTTAAATAGCTTGCATTGTAAAAAAATTCACGAATGTTATCTACGAATGGCAATTATACGCACGTGCGCTAATTACCATAGCTAAAATTAACACTTTAACCTTGTGTAATAAACTCGGCATGGTTAATATGTGTGTAAAACTAAATATGTTTCTAGAATGTACATATGTATACGTTAGAGATATCTTTCTAGTTTACACAACTGTCGTTGCGAATCTCGTGTATAAAAGAAAAAGTTTTTTTACAAAAGATTCGTACGTGTTATCTTGTAAAATGGAATGGAATGTAAATTTACGCAGCTCTGATTTGTGTGTCATTTAATAACGTTTATTGATTCGTAATTACGATCGAGATGTAAAAGTTTTTGAGGAACTATTGCAATTAAATCTGCGAATACATAAAATGAATAATTAAATCTACGAATAAATAAAATTTTTTAACGATTCGAGTATTTTCTTAGAAATTTTTTTTATATTATTGCATCTCGATTCTAATTGTGGATCAATAACGAAGAACGTTATTAAATAACACGAATTAGAGCGAATAATTTCATAATAATTTATATATAATTTCTACATTTTCAATTTTACAAAGTAACATATTAATCGTTTTAAAAAACTTGAAACCTTTGCTAAAATTTTCGGAGTCTTTGAGAATGTACCTTCCATTATTCATCGTTATGGAAATTAAAACGTAAATGTTGTCTCATTTTTAAAAGAGAATGTTGAAACGTTTCCTTAACACATTACAACGGAAATTAACAAATTAAAACATTAAAGACGAACTGAATTTACACGCGTTTCTGGAGTAAATAAATTATTTGGAAAGTATACACAACGCGCATTTCTTATGTACGTGTTGTGTAATATATAACAAATATACATAACTTTTTCAATTCCTCCGAGAGAAATGCATTTTCGTTGCAAATTCGCAGCAAGGAATAAGCAAGTATATAATCCTTTCACGCCACGTCAAGAACATAAATGTACGATTCGTTCGCACAAGGAGCCGCGATATAAATTGGATCTGAACTCTTACGCGTCGATACAGATATCGATATATATTACGTGTAAGAAATAACCGTTGCTAGATAAACGAGAAGAAAATAGTAGTGACGCGATAGAAAATTTATTACATTGATTTGCACCATTTAAATATTTGCATGTGTTTTAAATTAACATACTCACAATTTATTTTTGCCGTATATTTAATGTTGAAAAATATATAAATTATTAAAATGAGATATTAGACTGCGATTATGTTGGAAATTTCGAGATTTATGACGCAACTTTTATTATTTATGTTCGAACATTGACATGAAAGGATGAAATTATTGTCCGTATTGCAAAACCGTTATACAGCCAACAAATGAAAACTATCAGTAACGTGAAAACGACTCCGTTTTTCTCGCGGCGGAATCTCTTCGAAGAAAAACTTTTATATACAGCAACTTCTTCTCGTTGGTGTTGAGAACGAACGTTGCGAGATTGAAGACCAGCTTCTCTCGCAATTGTTTTTACGTGATAAAAAAAATAACAAAACCTTGACAAATTGAGCGTGACTCGCGGAAGCGAAGAGACCGCGGCTTTTTGCACAAAATTAAGATCTACACGTAATTAACAAGCTACGTTGATTTACTTTGTGTGCGTTCAAGTGTTTAAACTCATAAAAAAAGTCTCGGAATAGAAGTTTAATTTTTTTGTGGTTTAATTTTTAAAAGTTTACTTTTTTATATAGCGCCAACTTCTTTGGCGTGCGCCCGCGCGCGAAAGATATTTATACTTTAATTAATAAGCGAATAAAACGGTAGATGAGAGAAAGAGGAAGAGAAAACTGTACTTCCTGCACGCTGACCCGTACGTCTTGTCGAGTTTTTCAACAACAAAAGTCGATCGATAAATACAACGGACAATCTACTCTAGCGGAAAAAAAAAATGAGAACTCATATATCTTCTCCTTCTAAACGCAATCGTCATAATGCACTCTTGGAAGGAAATTCGCTCGTGAGTAAAGTTCAACGTGCGGTGCAACACGCGTGCTCTCATTCATAGAAAAACTCCGTGTTGTGCCGCAATTTATGTGCGTATTATGGCCATTTAATTTATCACGCGTAATACCATTACGTTAGACTCATCGCTAAATAACGCGATTGGCGATAAAAGAAGCATTTTGAAGAATAAAAATCGACAAAAAAAATGGAAAACGTAGAGAATCAAAAATCTGTTCACCGACCAAAATTCGAGATCGACTTGTTGCGAAAAATGTTTTTATTTTGACAATGACAAACTGAAATATGCCAATTGATAAATTCAATTTCCCGAGAAACAACAATTTGAGATTTGCAATTACATATAAAAAAAGAAAGCGCTAATTACGTTTCTAAGTAAATGTAAATATAATAAAAATATAATAAATATAAAAGACGATATTATTGTTTATTTAATTCTTTAGTTTGTACTGGTACGAAGAAACATTTTCCACAAACGGTGAATTGTAAATACTCGTTAAACGCATTTCAAAACTTGCACGTAGCTATAAACCGCGTCGTTAAATCGCACAAGTTCTTCTGAAACTGAACAAATTTACACAGACTTTTTTTTTTACAATCATGAAATAGAGGTCTCATATGCATCCGTCATGCTTTTCAATGCGTGATGTTCTGTGCCTCCGCGTTTGTTTTATTTGTCTATTAAATGCTTCTCCATTCACCGCGCGCAGTTATTTTGCCGCGGTAAACTGCTAGCGATAAATTAATTCCACCTAACACAACCGCAATTAAATCCATTTGCAGACGTACGTTTATTCATAATAGAGCAAACTTGTCTTTAGACAAAAATAAGCTGCACAAAGAGAGAGAAGAGAGAGAGAGACAGAGAGAGAGAGAGGGATACGTAGAAGTGTGCAATTTCTAAAATTAATAGAACATAGAAAACATGGGAAACCTCGCCTGTTGCGAGGAAGAATACGAATGTGTGCAAGTATGTGAATGCAGCGTAACACACACACACACACACGCACGCACAAAGAGTTGCACTAAATGTAATAGCACAATAGTAGCAAAGTCATTCGCTCCGAACATTTGCGTGTCAAACGTACGCGACAATGTTTATGTGTGTTTAAATCGACAATACTAATCGCCACGACGAATCTAGTCGCCCTTACAACAATGTCGGGCAAAATGTAAATGTTCGCGTGAATAATGACTGGCGATTTCGTTTTGCGTATATATTTTACAAATATACGGTGTAATTTACGTGTTTAATACGGCAATGATACATCTTGCACACACAAATGCTTCAAGTCGTTAACACTTCGGCCAATCCCGTCTATAAGCGGAGTTAAGAGTCGATTGTTCAAACAGCGAATTACGTGAACTTATGCAAAATGTTTTTCTCATAGATTTTTTTTTTTTTTTTTTTTATTCAATGAGATACAAACTAGAGTCTCTCTTCCTCTCCCTCTCTCTCTCTCTCTCTCTCTCTTTCTTTCTCTCTCGAGGAAAACGATCTCGATTTTCTCCAATCAAAAATTTTTAAATTAGAATTCAGAGATGTTGCACTTTTTGCGCGCATTAATTTCGCTTTCATTGTTGATGATATAAAACACAACCGCATGAAAGGAAGAGAACCACTTACTTTTTTCGTACTTTTTTACTCCAGCGACGTCCTTCCGAAGCGTCCACTTGCACTTCCTCTCGCGTATGTAATGTACAACAGCGCGGCGAAGTGCAGCGTTTAGTTACCAGGTGCAGTCCCTCTGCTCTGAATAAACAAAAACACAAACTCGCGGCTCTCTCTCTTCTTCAAGACGATGAGTTTCTCTGTTTCGCGCGTGGCGCGGCGTTATCACTCGCGCGCCGATTTTCCTTTTTCTTCGTATTTCGCTCGCGAGAAAACACGACGCGGCGCGAGCGAGCGAGATGACGAACGATCGCGAAGGAACGAAAAAAGTGAGAGAAAGAAAGAAAGAAAGAAAGAGGGAGAGAATACGGATTAAACGCAAGTCTGATGCAAGAGTGAGAAAAACGGAGATAGAGTATATGATGCGACAGGAGAAAGAGAGAGAAAGAGGGGGAGAAAGAGGGAATTATACGGACGCGGGAACAGAGCAAAAAGGCAAATGAAATGATACTACGCGAAGCGCGGCGTGATAAGAACCGGGCGAACGTGAGTTTCCTGCATCGCGAATGAGACGAGCGGCAAATCAAAATCCAACGGTTCGTTTGACTTGCCTTGAATCTATTGAATCTCGCGATGATGTTCACCGTGTGCTATCACATCGTTCTTGCGTGGCGCGAAAAACGGAGCAGCCGAAAAAAAGATTCTTCTTCGGGGAGTACGTGGCGTGCGCGCGCGTGCGTGCGTTGCTGCAGCAACAGCAGCAGCAGCAGCAGCAGCAACAGCAGTTGCACTTTCTCGCCGAAGAGGAAGAAAGATCGTCTTCCTCCTCTCTTCCTTCTCCGCCGGTATATTCCTGCTCAGGATCCGATCGAGCAGGCACTGACCCCGCGAGACGGCGACGTCGAGTGCGGAGAAGAGCGCGAAAGAAAGAACGAGAAAGACAGAAAGAGGGAGCGAAGAAGCAGAAGAAGCGGAGAGTGAAGAAGAAACAGGACAGAAATCAAGAGAGAGGAAACGATAAATAATACAGAAGGAAAGACAGAGAGAAAGATGATAGGGAAATGTAGGAGGAGGAGGAAATTATAATGGTACCGAGTGATTTGTACTCGAGTCTTCACTTCTGTTGCAAACGTTTCTCCTTTTGAACACGCGCGGTTTTTAAAAACGGCAGAGGGTGAAAGAAAGAAACGAGTTTTCCCGCTTCGTCGCACGTACGGTGGTCGAGAGTTTTCAAAATTGTTTTACGTATGTCCGAACGCGCAAAATGTGTGTGCGTGACGTCGTCGTGCGAAATGTATCGAGAGACGTTTTGATCGTCGTCGTCGACGGCAACGATGCGCGATGACGGCGCGCTCGCGGAGGCAAACGTGACAACGTGTCTCGCGCGCGCGCCTGTTTAGAATATACTGAATATATTTTGACCGAAGCGCTTCGCCGCACTGGCGCTCCGCACGCGCTCGGCAACCTTCGGTCGCGCTCGGCCGCCGCGACCGAACCAACCGCGACGTCTGGTCGACGAGATCCGCACCCTCACTCGATCACTGGCGGTGCAGCGAGAAGGTCGATGTACCGCGGCGCTCGTTCACCCGCTTATATAGAGATTTTGCTCTTTTTTGTCTCCCCCACTGTTGAAAGATATTTAACCACATTCCGTCTTGCATCAACTCTAGCGTTTGATTTACAGATAAATCGCGCGCTTATAATAATTTATAGAAAAATTGTTAATTTTAGATTATCATTCAGAAATTGATTTTATCATTGTACGATGTTTTGTACGCGGATAAAACAATAATTTAATGTTAGTATGTAAATTATATTACGCGTACTTTTCCGCATATATACACAAATTATAATTTTCACTATTTTCTTTTATGTACGTGATGAATATTTTTAACCGCGCGTTATTTTAATCGTCGTTACCAGTCACGGATATAAAACCCGACAGTTTAAAACTAGTTTCCGCCTCATTTAAAAGCGCATTAGAACAACAAAAGCGTGTCCTGGAGCGTCATTAGTTTGACAATCGTTCGGTGCTCTGAGAAATTGTAAACTCGCTTAAAACGCGACCTCGTTAAAGTTCGAAAACGCTAAATAGTTTTACGCGGAATCGTAAATCATTTCGAAACAATTTTAAAGATTTTGTTCGAAATTGAATATTTTTTTCTCGACTTATGTTGATTCGAATTTGCAACATTTTTTTGTCGATCGAGAAAACAATCGTTCGATCCAATCAAGTTGCGTAAATATAAAAGTGTTTGCGTGTATTAATTGCGCCTACGCATCAATATCTATTTGTTTGAAATAAACCGGTGTTTTATTCTCAGGGTCTTTAGCTAGTTTAATTCGATCCTCTCGACGTTAGCGAACGTCTTAACGTTCTATTTTGCTATAAAGACAGTTCATGACATCGAGGCATTGTCGGGCATACACGTTCGCATGTATACATTATGCAAATTGATTCCATCGATTGGCCGCCAGACTCTCCGCGCGAATATAGACTTGTTGCACGTTTCAGTGGCTCTATTTCGGTCTCTAGAGCGTGCTTCTTCTTGTATTTGACACGCGATTTCGCAAAAATAACGTTATATTGAGAAAACGCGCGCTCTCTCTCTCTCTCGACATTACACTGCACTATGCAAATATCTCAATGATACGATTTAATTACATTTTCATTAAAAATCGCAAATTTGTTGAGGATATATTTGTTACATTCAAATTATAAGAACGCGGAATATCTCGACAATTGAAGTTTCGATTTTTCATAAAAATTGCACAAACAATTACGCGAAAATTCACGCAATATCAACACTTTTTCCTAAAGACGCAAGTAGATTTCTTATTTCTATGTTGTTGTATTATAAGCAATAACAAGTTTCGTAAACAATAACAATAAACGATCTAACCTAATCAGAAAAATTCTTCGGTGATCAAAACAACTGCTACATCGTTGAATTGTTTTTTTTTTTTTCGATATTATTTAGATAACGTCGCAATTTCATTTCACTAGAATTTACTCATAAACGCGGACACGCGGTGCTATTTCTATACCGCCGATATGCGTTGATTGTACACCGTTCGAATGGCATTTCTCCGCGGAGATCGTTTCGATTCCGCTATCGACTACCAGTTGTGCGCAATTCGCCGCGATAAAGCCTGCAGCATTTTCTCCGAGTTTACAGACGATTAAGGATCGTAATTATCTTAAGAGACCTCTTTGTGGGAGCGGTGCTGTCGCCGATTACTATGTGTCGCCAACGACGGCGCCGCTCTTCTTGCCACTAATGCGAGTCATTATATGCCCGATATGTAAAGGCCTCTTTCGCGAGATATCGCGAGCGCGGCGTTGCACGGCACTTTTTTTATTTTAGGCGGAAAATTCGCATAAAACGAAGAATAAACGATTAATAAATGTCTTGATAATTGCCATTCGAGAACTACTAGAATGCCCAGAAGCGCTACAAGCTGTAAAATAAAATGTCTATAATCATTGAAATTGCATCTTTTCATTTCGCCCGAGGCATGACAGAGACGTTTTGCATAAAACGACTAGTGTTGTGACTACAACGTAACGTTTATAGCCGCAAAACAGAAATAGAAGTTTATCAAGAATTTTATTCGAGATAATATGTTTATGTAATAATATTTGTATCTTAATCTTCTGAATATCTTGAGTTGTTTGTACATTCTGTTTTAAATTTTGATTTTAGATGCGCGTAAAAAATATCTTTCCACTAGCTCCGCTGTTGTGTTTTTATATTTTCATTACTTATTTTTAAATTTAACTATCAATTTTGTAGATGAAAAAGATGGTAAAAGAGACTGATGTTGACGATATAAATGTTTTTGTTGTCTCCTATGTTTTTTTAATCAGAAATAATTTAAAAAAACGCAACTAGATATTAAAATAAAACGATTGAATTTTAATATATTATTTGATATTTAAATAATTTAAAAAATATCTGTCATGATTATATTTATATCTGAATTTAAAAAAATGATATAAAAAAAATTAAAATATCTTCCGTACAAGAAAAAAAAGAAAAGAACCTGAAAAATCAAGAATTTCATTGCAGAGCATAGTAGTTAGAATTCGCGATAAGTGATAGGTGGAACGACATTATCGATCCTTATCGTAAACTCGGCTTTGTAAAACGAGCATTAAGTCATGCGAGCTACCTAGAAAGAAAACTTTGAAATGTGTGTGTGTGTGTGTGTGTGTGTGTAAATAATGAGAAGGGCTCAGTATCCCATGCCAAGCTAACCATAATTACCGCGTTGGTAATACGCGGTTGTTGTCAGCGCGATTAGCGTCGTGTTCTTTCGCGAGTTGTCCCGACCTGTCGCAAATTGCCGGAGTTAGGTAACCGAATACGATTTCACTAACGGAACGAATGTCTTTTTAGCATGTTGTTTTTTTTTGTACATTTGCAATAAAGAATTTGTTCTGTGCGTAAGTGTTTTGAAACAGACTCTTGGCGTTTATTGTTTTTTATTTTAATATGTGTTACAATATTGTTTTTTGGGAATATGTTTAGGAAATATTCCTAAAAGATAAGAGCTTATAGTAAACACACACGCATATATACTAATGATAAATAAAAGCAAAGTTTGAAGTTAAACTTTTAATAGTTCACATCCCATCAATATTTCTTTGAATAATTGATGCAACACACATAGTGATACATGAGAATACATACATGAGTGTCAGGTTGATCGCAAAGTTTAATTAACGGTTGTAACAGTAGATGCAGATTTTAACACAGTAAAATTTTTAATTATACCGCGCGTATATTTGACAGAAAATAAAATTTTCGTTAAAATACCGTTTCATGAAATCTCTCATCTACAGCAACATAAGAATTAAAAAAAAAAAAAAAAACAAGTCAATTTAACATATCTTTATGAAAGTAACCATGTGAATAAAATTGCGTAAAACTGATATGGAAAAAGTAAATAAAAAAGATACGCAATAGAACTTATCTCAGTATTGCAAAGATCTTTTTGTTTGTATGTCATCTAATATCGTTCTGAGTTCTTCATCTTCCAGACGTCCCTCCAACGAAGGAATCAATGCCTTTGCTTCTTCCGGAGTTTCCGGACACAAGTTGGCTAGCGAAGCGATTTCGAACTTGTGAAGTTTCTTCTGACTCAACAAACTACAACAACAGGCATTTAATTAAATTATGCGTGTTTTTTTTTGTATTGTATACGTGTACTTATATTTTCAATTTTAAAGATTTTCTATAATTATATTTTTTATATTTTTTAATTTAAGAGTGTTCCGTATTGTATAATTATAATACTTTAAAAGAGAGAAATTTTTTGTAAATGTTTAACAATGCCGAAACAAAATAACTTACCTCCTAACGGCCGCAATTGTTTCTTTATTCTTCAATTTTCCAAATCGGTTTGTGTATGTTAAACTTTTCATGAAAACTTCGGAAAATTCTTGTTCCTCTTCCGCCGATTCATTTTGAGCTTGTCTGTGGTGCAGAAGCATGTAAACTTCCGATATCAATAAAGTCTCCGCATTTTCAAATTCTGCGAAGAAATTTGATACTTAGCGCGTTAGAGTAATTTAATTATTATTTTACAACAAAATATATGTGAGAATATAATTTGTTCTCAAATAGATATAGATAAAAATGGGTATAGAAAAAAAATGTATATCAAAAGTTTTGAAAATTAAACAAATTATTATTAAATTATTATTAAAAGTTTTTGCGTTATGTTTTTTAAATAAAAAACACTAAATAACGATTGTGTGTGTGTGTGTGAACTTTAGTTTTCAAAAAAAAAACGAGGAGAGGAAAGAGAAAGAATAATAAATATACATACAATAAAAAAAGATCTTTGCATTTATAAAAAATATAAACCTCTTTTCTCTAAAAATACAAAACTTTTTTAATGAGCAACAAATCTGATCGTCAGTTCATATCACAGTATAGCGTTGCACTCATTTCACATTTATATAAAAGTATTATTCGCGCGATATCACGATATATCAGTTAGCTTAAAAACAAAACAAAAAGATCAATGAGATGGTTTTTTTATGTATCCTTTCTGTATCAAAAAGTCATATATCTTTCGCGTTTTGTTCACGTCAATTTTCAGGAGCGTACGAGCCTGGGCCAATCTGAGATAACCGAATTTTTTGTTTTCTGTCAGTAACAGATGCTTATAATCCAAGTAACTTTCGGGCACGATTCTCGCGACGGAACAAAGTTCCTTCTCCTCGGCGTTCAGTTTCTCGTATCCCGGTAAGCCTTGTATTACGAGCGGCGGCGCGGGTTTGCGCGGCGCGCTTACGGAAATCGGACCGCCAACGGCAACGCTATCGGGTCCCAACGTTCTCCAACTGTACTCCGGATTGCTCAAATACTGTTTTCTCTCCCGCTCGTTTTCCTGCCGCAGTTTGCTCAGCATCTTGAACATGGACACGCTATGGAAGCGCATGAGTCCGTTCTCCCGCAATCCCAGTAACTTGGTAATGCGACTCCTGAGCACGCCGGCCCCGTGCAGACCCTCCATAATAAAGTCGAAATCCATTCCATCCATAAGCTGCATAAATACCAGCAGCCTCTCGGTGAGCGGTCTCGTTATCGTACTCTCGTACCTGTGCATCCACGATATAACTTTGCGAAACGTCATCAGTCCGTGATCGCGTATGATCTTTCGTCTTCTCGCGCGCTCCTTCAATCTGTTGTTGTACGCCTCAACTACCGCCGCTTGCAACGCCCGTCCCAGTTCGTATATTTCGTCATCCGGTTGAAACTCGTCGAAATTAAGATCGGAAATAAGCATTTCTGCGTGATTGTCAAAATTCACCTCGAAATCGGACCTGGCCGCATTGTATCCGGCCAGAAGTCTAACATTTGTCGAGTCCGAGGCGAATCTCGGTGGCTCCTCTAAATCTCGCAATTTGAACATGTAAGGAACGGGTTCGCAATTGAACAAACTAGCTGTGGTCTCTTGGATCTTCGGTAAACCTGGCAGGGTCTGATAGTCTATGTAGTGCTGCAGATAGTGCATTCTGCACTCCTCCGCGGACTTTCCTTGTATTCTACGCTCCACATCCGTCCAATTTCCAAAACCGCATTGCTGTATGATATCCAGCAATTCGAGTTCCTGTTTAGCGGTCCAATCGCTATCCTTGATCAAAGGAAATTCGTTTCTTATGATCACGTAATCGTGATCGTTCTTGTGCTCGTGAATTTCGCACCCATTGGCAAAGCAAGACGGACACAAATCAAAATTAGCGCACACGGCGCAACGAATGTACGGCTCCGTGAGAACCGTCCTGCACATGCGGCATAACGAGTCTGAAGCAAGACTTTCATCCTTCAGAACTGACACCTCAAGTTCAACATCAGAGTCAACATTGTTCGTTGGATTCAATGGACAGTCTGAAAGAGGAAAATCGTAACCTTAACTAGCGCCATTCCGATGTGCAGGCATTCTTATTGTTATTACGATATTAGTAAAAAAAAAAAAAAAACAAATCAGAAACTGAATATGTATCTCTGTTGTTTGAATGTAAACCTCTGTTTATTATCAATATAAAACATCAAATATCTTTTCCTTACTGTTTGAATATTATATTTAATCTCACATCTATCAAATCTACTGCTATCATAAATTTTATAGCATTGAAAAAAAGATACAATATTTTTTTTGACTTACTTGCGTGTTATTTTATATAAGAAAATTGAATCTAACAAACTAAACATGCATCATATCTAATTATTGCACTACTCTATTATACAATGTTGTTACATATGAAGTTGCACCAATAATGTCTGAACAGTATCTTAACAATGATTTTTTGCCTTTATAAAGGTAATAATAATAAAATCGAGTAGCATAATTGTTATAACAAAAGAATAGTTCAGAGAACGTAAAATACGTCAAAGATATAAAATAACTAGTTGAGATACAAGTGTGTCCACTTCTTGTGTAAATGTAAATTACAAATTTTCCACTTTTAAAGACGTTTTTGTATCTTCTTAGCATATTAGTACACACACACATACAACTGTTGTACAAAAGTGAGGTTAGCTGTAAATGGCGTACCTACCACCGGTGTTTGCGATCAGAAAATGTGCGTACCTTTAGGAAATTGCAGATCCGCTGCATCTTCCTCTGTTATATCCGTGATAGTAGAGTTAGCCATGTCGAGCGATACTTGCTAAATACGTTTCCTACTTGTCATCAATGAGATAGATGTTTTTGCAGATGTTCAAAACCGCTCGTACTCTTCGTCCACGTTGTTTCAGCGAAGTAGTTTAAACCAGAGAGACGCCTGAGAGCGGCCAGGTCCATAAGAGAATGTGAATCACTTTTCCGCCCCGTAAACTAGCGCATGTCCACGGGTGGTACACATTGGAACTACGCAGCCAGTCCACGAGCGACATGTCGGTATGTCCACAGCGTGCGGTTCTATTCTGTGCTATGTGCACACGTCCAAATGGTCACCTTCTTCAGGCGTGTGAGTATATTCGCGAGTGTGGATTTGATTTTTAATTCTCTTCCTTTAAAGAGAATTAAGACATGTAATAAATGTTCTCTTTCTTTGAAGAGAACTAAGAAATGTAATAAATGTTAAATTTTAATACAAAAGAATGTGAAAAATAAACGTGTTATGTTCAACGACTGAGGTGTTTTTCCAACCGGCGAGTGTTTTTGCGCATAGTGGTGAATGCGTGCGCTCTATTCACAGCGCAGCGCGTAGCCTCAGATCTCGTCGATCTCTCAAGTGTAACAGACGTGTTGTCGGGTTGTGCGCGATTCAAAATTTTTCTTTTTCATTATAACAAGTTCGTACGCAATTTTGTACATAAGTAAATTTCTTCGTGAATTAATTATATAATTCTGATATTGTAAATCTACCGCGTATATCGCGATTAAATATTTCGCGTATATAAATTATTAGTCTTCCGCTTCGTAATTTCTTTATTTTTTAAAATAATTATTCTATAATACATAAAGCAATATATCGGTTCATCTCTAACAACATTCATTTTTTTGCTACATATTGTATATAACATATATTGGAATATATACTTTTTCTTTCAATTTTATCAGAAGAATTTTACAGTACGGGTTTAATATTTTACAAATTCGAGTTTCGTTAATACTCTCTATTAAGAGAACCGCGTTTAAATCTATAACTTTTTATCCATTTTCGAATTCTTCTCTTTGACAGTTTGGGTGCAAGCGGTACCATTGTCATCTTAACTGTCATTGAGAAGAGTTCGGAGGTGAATAAACGTTATAGATTGTTTTTATATTCAGTAGTGCTTGTTGACTCGATTTTAAAGAGTCTGGTTGTTGTAAAATTCTCTGTAAAATTCAAATAAAAAATACATTTCCACATATCATGTCTATAACATACATATAACAAAGAAATGTGAGTTACGTGTAATCGTAATACATTGCTTTATATATTTAGAATACTTTATTTTACAAAAAAACAAATTTCGAAACAGCAAGGTAATAGTTTGATATACGTGAAATTTTTCATCGTGAATTAACGTCTAACATTATCAAAAGCAATTTTTAAAGAAAGTATGAAAGAAATTTACTTAATCGCGCGTGTGTGCGCGTGTGAAAGTGATCAAGTGCTACAGAAGACAATCCGGACAATATTCCTGTGGACTTTTGGTGACGCTGATGGCGGTATTCCTGATGGCGATATTCCTGATGGCGATATTCCTGATGGCGGTATTCCTGATGGCGGTGTTTGCAGTACCGGAGGAGCCGGTTCGGGCAATAAAATGCTGGCACGAAGGTATATTTCTGTTTGTAATATTATATATCTTACACATATAAAAGTATTAAAATACATCCAATTTTCTTCGAAGTTTTTATTCTAATGATAGACTTTTATTTTGTTACAGAGTGGTATCGTCGCAGTAAATGGCCAGCGCACGTGAGTAGACTTTTAGGGTAGGTGATGGGTTTTTCAAAAATCAGTGCGATACATAGTTTTTACTTATTTATCTCAAAGCGTCGAGAAAAAATAATTATTTCAAAGATAAAAATATAGTTTTCGGGCTGTGATTATAGATTTAAATTAAATTTACTTATAGAAATTAGAGTATAATAAAGATTAATAAAGTATAATAAAGAATAATAAAGATATTTTTGAGATATTTTATATCATTATCAAAAAGATATATTTGCTACTCTTTTCAAACCAATTCAGATTTTTGCTTCATGTAATGATTATTTTCTGTAATTATTTAATACCGCAATGTAATTATTTTATACCGATTTTTTCTCGACGACTTTTCATTTTCAACAAATTGCGAATGTTTCGTTCGCCTTGCGTCAAAATCGACGCCTTGGACCTCGCAAATGCGAGGAAATAACGCGATCGCGGTCGTGTACGCGGTTTTAGATTTCGCGAATTGTTTTATTTAAAACTTTTGCTATTTTTTCACTTTTTGTTATTTATTGATATCGATTAAAGAATAGATTTTCCGCGAGAATTTTACGATAAAGTTAGATATTTTAGAAACTTTCGAAAAGCATATCGGGAAAGAATAACATATTTATTTAATTTTGACGACTTAGCGTTACTATTACCGCGATTTTTAGTTTTAGTACGAAAAGTTTTACGTAGAAATTTTGATTGATCGCGTTTTACTTAACTTTCATTTAGATTTCGAATGTGTAGATGTATCGAATTTTTCACTAAGTTTTTAATTTTCCTTTTTCGATCCGTTCCGTTTTCGATAAACAATTTTCGCAAAAAAATTGCGGACTGATGCTTCGTTAAAGTAACAAAGCAAGATACTTCGCTGTGCTAAGCGGAGTAATTCTCGCAAAAGTTGCGAGACTGTTTTTGCGTAAAAAGTACGCAAATATTACTATTATAATTAAAACCGCAAATTCCGTTCCGTACTAACAAAATAATCAATATTATAACTTTGATTTTTGATTATAACTTTAATTTGAGATTTACCTAAAATCCGTGCGACATATTTTAAAATATTTTAAAACTTATATAACTTTCATTCGTTTTAATCACTTATTTTGACTTCTTATTACTTATTTTTCATTCTGCATTTTTTTACACACACACTATCTATCCTATACCTTTTCTATATCAAAAAAAAAAAAGAAAAAAAGAAAGAAAAGAAAAAAAAAGACAAGAGAATATTGAAAAGTAAGATTCCCTAATTTATTCTTCTTTCCTTTTTATTTACCCTCCTTTACCCTTTCTACACATTCTTTAATATTTAATATTCTTTAATATTTAAACATAAAGTATAAAGTCGCGAATAAAATTCTATTCTTTTTATTTAACTTTTTACTTTATTTTTATTATTCTTATATTCTATCTTTTAAAATAACGTTATTTTCCGCGTTCTTTCGAGATTTTGTTTTAATTTTTATCTATCAACTTTTTTAAAAGTAAAATTAGAGTCATTCGCGATTTCGCGGTTTTCGTGTCATATTACAGCAACGGGGCCACCGGTAAGTTTAAACGTGGTCCCGCGTCGTGGGACTACGGTCATCTCGTCGTGGGCGCACACCCTTCGCATCGTGGGACAGTAAAGGTAGGTTCCTGATTGCTACGTGGGACTGGAGTTGAAGATACAG